CAGCCGACATCGATGTGGTCGCTGCCTGGCTGCCTCTGGTTCCTGTCTCCGAGGAGCCACCCGGATATAATTTAGGGTTTAGGGTTTAGGGTTTAGGGTTTAGGGTTTAGGGATATGGAGAGCTTGGCCTCAGGGCTTTCGGACGGTCCTATGAAGGTTTCAGGCTTTGGGGTCCGGGTGGTACCACAATATACTTCAACATGATGCAGTATATCATGTTATAGCCTTGTATCTTAGTATATACTGCAAGGATCCCATTCAGCAGGTTTGTTTGTCTTGTTACATTGTTTGATCGCTTTCGGGTTTGGGGGGACTCCGGCTTAAGGTTAAACTTCAGGGTTTCACCCAGAGGCCCCACACGCCAAAGGGCACATTGTGATCCGGTAGCTTGCTGAGATTGCACATAGCTTTTCTTGTACGACTTGTTATAGGACGGTTCATCTACTTCCCTGTTTTGCAGCTATCCCAAACCCGAAGCCCTAAACCCCCGTCGACACGTCAAGGTGGCTGTCACCGTTGGCTTAGGGTGTGTAGTGCGTGCATGAACCCCACATCTGAAAACCTGAACAGATGTCTAACCTGCCGAACTAAGCCGCATGCATAACATAGGTTAAGGCATATGCAATGTATGAAACAGGCAGATCGGCCGTTTCTTGGGTAGGTAGAGAATTAGGCAAGAGGTCGAGAGGCAGATGCATGGATGGCTCCAAGATCACTCTCTGACCGTCGTATAGGAGGACCGTTAGTTGACAACATAGCTTCGTATAGTGTAGAGGCCTAAAGCAATTGAGGAATGGGACGCTCCAGCTCATCCGCGGCTCCCACAGGACACGCGCGATTATGGTTACAATGTCCCCTTGCAGTCCCCATATGATGAGTCCCTAGATGAATACATTAGAAGCTGCCCTCTAGCCTCCTCCTGACTGTTAAGGGCCTATTTCAAGCGTCGGTTCGCACCTACGGGCTTCCTGTTGCGAGGGTAGAAGGTAAACATAAACTAGAGGTATCGACCTTAATGAGTAGAAAGACCCATGGGCCATGATCCTTCAAATCAGCTCTCTCAAGGCTTTCTCCTAAGTTCGAAGAGTCAAACTCACCTGCGAGGTTCAGGAAGCATGGATGGGCGACAACATGAACCCTAAGTAGTAGGGCCAATGGACCCTGACTTTAAGACACCCCACCAAACCATGTAAACACCCTATCAACCGATCATACCAAAAGCCCAGCAAAGCTTACGAATCCCTGGCGAACCCCACAACCCCCAACCAACCAGGAGGTCCGACCTTTATCAGCACTTCCTGTCACCAGATGGGGCTTTGGCTCCCTTCATCCCGGAGGCGGGGAGCCGATCCACGGACCCGTAATGTAGGCGCCTTTACTAAATAATACCACCACTGTTTTAAGGGCTCCTTCTTACAATTAGAGTATAAAGGACCCCAACACCCTATTCCAATTGTCAAGGCCCCTATTTTAGACTAGGGCTCATGGGGGTGTACAGTTTTCGGGCATGTGGGCAGCATCAAAGGTATACTTCGCTTTAAACGTATGGTATGCTGAGAGGTACATACATACATACTTACATACCTACATTAACATTACACTACACATTACACATTACACATTACACATTTCACAGTACACAGTACACAGTGCACAGTGCACAGTACACAGTACATATCACACATTACACATTACACATCACACATTACTCATTATACATTATCCATGATACATGATACATGATACATGATAAATTATACATTACATCACACATACATTACATTACACATACATTACATTACACACACATTACGTTACACATACATACATATATACATATATATATATATATACATTCATACATACATTGGTATACATACAAAAACGAACTAACTGTTAATATGCGTACATATATACAAGCGCGCAATGCTAGGACTAGTACTGCTACTGCCACTGGTACATGTACTACTCGTAGTAATGATACGAACAGAATACGAGTACGCGGACTAGCACCAATATCAATGCTCATACTCATATTGTAATGCTACTACTACAGTATATATACGTAATATCAACTTGCTAGCACGACTAATGACAATACTAATGTCAGCAACAAAAATAACTTTCATCTACATTGTAATTTCAATCGTATTGCTGATAAACAGAAGGAGAAATACTTTATTTTTTTTACCGTGGTTCTGAACAATAACAGTTATACGTAATGACAGTGACAAGCTAGCAATCAGAACCAAATTTCGATCAACAAGGCCTTCGGATCCTTTTTGGGCATTTGCGAAAATAAGGGTACCTTATTCTGCGGCCCTTGTAAGAAGGATCCTTCTAGTTTGGGGGGTCCCCTATTATCGGAAACCCCTTTTTTGGGCGCTGAGGGCAGGTCTGGGAAAGCCCCCTTTGCTTGTCCCCGAACCCTCGGCCGCTCCGGGTGCAGGGTTTAGGGTTTAGAGGCGTAGATTTTAGGGTTTCATGCTTAGGGTTTAGGGTTTAGAGGCTGTGAGTTTAAGGTTTCAGGCTTAGGGTTCAGGGCTTAGAGGCTTAGATTTTAGCGTTTCAGGCTTAGCGTTCAGGGTTTAGACGCTTAGAGTTTAGGGTTTCAGGCTTAGGGCGTATACGGCTTAGAGGTTTGCTTAGGGTTTGGGGCTTCAGTCAGCATCAAAGACCCGAAAAGCTCAAGTCCAAGCTTGGGATGCTGGGAAGGAGACCTTACCCATGGGTGAGCGACACCTGGCTTGTGTTAAGGGTTTAGGGTTTGCGGCTGCAGATGTGGTGGTCGATCAAGCACGGATAGGGTTTAGGGTTTAGGGTTTAGGGCGCCTGATCTTTAGAGCCTTACTTGGTCACGTTTCAGAGTTTGGGGCCGGCAGCAGACATCCTATCAGTTGCAGTGCAACCTTGAGCCGTGCTTAGTCGAGACATCATTTTGGCGATCCTATGGCTTAGTAATTGCCGGAGACGAAGTGTCCGAAAATTGCATGAATGCGTACTCCTGCCGTGGTCTGTGGTTTACTCCAATCCTCGGCAGCCGTGCTCATGGAAACACAACTGTTTCTTGTTCAGGTCATTTCGGGTTTGGCACAACATCTCCCCCAAAACGCGAGATGTTTTGGGCTCTCTGCATGGACCATAAGCCCCAAACCCGACACCTTACACCCTACACCCCAAACGGTTGTTCCATCATTACGGCCCGGACATTAGACCCTTAAGACCCTAAACCCTCAACCTCAAAACCTAAACGCTAAACCCTACACCTCAAAACAGATCCTCCGAGGTGTGCTGGCCCTGCTGAATCCTGGAGATGCAGTTTTCTTTTCCCAGCGCACAGCCGCACGACCCGACTTCAGAGAGAGGCTAGGCTTGAGGGTTTAGGGTTTAGGGTTTAGCTTTGGCTTCTTGGGTGGGTTTGCAAGGTCTTCAACTTTCCGGAGCATGGGCGATAGGATTAGGGGGTGAGAAAAGTTTCCTTCTGCCATATTTAAAACCCCTCCTTTGTACACGCTGACGTGGTAGTACACTGTTCAACCAAATAGACTGTATGGGTGGTAGCATGATGCCTGCAACAGATCCTGTAAAGCCTTAAAAGGGGCCACTACAAAGCCCCGGAACCCTCCAGCCCTAAAAACCCTAGGCCCTAAAACCTAATTGGACCCAAAGCCCCAAACACTAAACCCTAGACCGTGTTCTAAAGCCTGACAAACAGGAGCTTTACCCACGACAGAACCGTATATCCATCCTGCAAGGAACCCTTATAGTATAGGCACGCTTCGAGGAACCCTTCATGTAGCCTAATCAACCCTTACAGAAAGCATCTTGTAAAGCCCTGTAGTGCAACCCCGATCCCTCCTTGGGATCACCCTACATCCTAAAGCTGTATCAAGCCTGTATTCAGAAAAACCTTCTAGACCCTAAAAACCCTAAAAGACGTAAGCCTTCAAAACGCTCCGAGGTCCACGGCGGCTGTGGGCCGAACCTCTCGCAGTCCGTCCGCTGGGCCGTTGACCTAAGGCCCGATGTCCCGTGTGTTTGCTTTGCTAGAGTCGAGCTAGGGCCTGTATGGGTCAGACTTTGGGGGTTATGGGTGTATGGGTGTATGGGTTTAGGGCATTTCGGATTTAGTGTTTGGGGTTTGCGCCGGGATTAGGGTTTTGAGGTTTTGACGTTTCTGTTTTTTTTGTGTTTTTGTTTGAGGGGGGTCTAGGGGATATGGCTTGAAGTTTAGGGTTCAGGCTTTGTTGCAGTTGGGGCTTGGGGTAATTATTATCCCAAAACCAAGACCCAATTCTTGGGTCCTGTGGACCCTCAAAGGGCCTATTATTCGAATCCCATGATACCCTTTAAAGGGGACCCTCTTCTAGAACGCCACAATACCCTTTTAAAAGGGGGAAGCTACGGAGCCTTCCGCCGAGGTGGCAAAGCCACGGGGATCCCAATTTTCTCACGGGGCGCAAAGACACCGTGAAGCTGCGGCCAGCCCGTTCTAAGGGGGTCCTTTAACGGCTCCCTTAAGGGGTTCCCTTTCGGGGTCCTTTAGTTGCTTTTTTGTGTTTTGGTTGTAGGCTTCTAGGGCTTATTTTTTGTTGGTTTAGAGGGTTGTTCTGAGTTGTTGGGTCTTCCTTGGGGGTTCCGCGACAGAGGAACAACAACTCACGACGACGCCGACTACTCTTGCTGCAGCCGCTACACGTGGGACAGCAATAGTAATAACAACTTCGCAACTTCTGCTGCTGCAGCTGCAACTGCAGCTGCCGCTGTACAACTTCAACTACAAAAAACTAACAACTGTGGCTGTTGCTGCTGCTGCTGCCAGCTACTTTTACACTTACAACAGATACAACTACAACTACCAGTACATCTACACGACATTCACCCTAGACCATTAAAGCCCTAAAGCGCTACACGCTAATCCCAAAACCCAAAATCCCCCTAAACTCCAGACCTTGATGAAGACCTGAAGCCTTCACGAACACATCCTAATCGGTAAATGGTATAAACCCCAGGACCTAAACCTTAAACCCTAAACCCCACACCCTAAACCCCAAACCCAAAGACCTAGCCTTCATCCGAAAGAAACTTCGGCCTCTTGACCTCAGCCCTCTTGGGTTCCAAGGTGGGATGCCGAGACGGGGCCCGAAGCAGTTGATGCCCCCTGGCAGGAGGATTTGGGCTTTAGGGTTTAGGGT